AGTTCCATGTCCTGCATTGTCTCTAGGGGATTCTCATTGTGCTCCTCTAGAGGATTACTGGTATTTGGTGGGGATATGTTATTTTGGTTTTTCATGTTATTATTTTTTCTCTGTGATTTTGACATGTGAATTTCTTTTGTAGTTTCTGACTCTTGTGTGATACTCGGGCCTTCAAGTTTAGTTCTGCTTCTTTTATTTTTGAGCTTTATGTGTCTTTGTGGTTTACTTTTTGGGTATGAAGAGCTGGTTCGTCTTAGCTTCTGGTTCTCTCTTTTGATTTTATATTGTCGAGGCCGGATTGATTTTGTCTTCAGGAGTTCTGTGTTGGCCCAACTCCAATGTGGATCAGAAGTTTTCAGACTTTCTCCTTAGGTCTGGAATCTTATAAGAATGCTTTTGGCCTCAGGAACTTGGGTGGCACTGACCTGAGACCCTTGCCGTGGCTGCGCCACGCAGGGAAGCAAAGGCAGATGGGGAGGGAAGAAGCCCCAAGATTTCCCAGGGAGTGGATTGAGTAGCTGGGTTGTACTGGATGCAAAGGTTCAGGGAGAGTAAAGGTAAGCCTCAGAGCCCCAGAAAGAGGCTGTCAGCCCCAGAAAAAGGCTGGCGAGTGTTCCAGGACCAGGGAAGTAGAGGGAGATGAGGGCAGGGCCAGGACCAGAAGCGGTGCTCCTGGAGCCCAAGAAAGGGACTGAGTTGCTCTGGGTGAGAAGGATCAGGAAACAGTATTGGTTCCCCAGGTGTCTGGGGCCCCAAGACTAGGAGTGGCGCAGGGCTCAAACTAGGAGTATAGAACGGCGAGGGGGGGGGATGGAAGGGTGAATGTGGCTTAGGGAGTCCCGGCTCGGAGAGCTGCGCTATATATAGACTTACCCCAAGAGACCTGAGGATAGTAGTGCAGGCTAGGAGAGTTCCCCAGGGAAGCAGAGAGCAGGTGTGTTTTTTATGCCTGGAATTTCTTCATTGGAATTTCCATTTTAAATGAGGAAGAGACCTGTATACTTGTACATATACAGTGAGAGAGAGAGAGAGAGAGAGAGAGAGAGAGAGAGAGAGAGAGAGAAAGAGAGATAATGAATTACATAAGAGGGAGAAGGGAAGAACTGTCCTGCAGGTGGAAGTATCATTTAAAAAAATATTTAGAAAACTGGATGGATTTATCTTTGTTTAGTCTTGTGCTGACAAAAAGCAGAAGCTCAGTGTCACCTTGCATCCTTACTGTGCTGCCCTGGCTGCAACACTGCTCACCTGCCTACCATGTGAGGAAGTGCTCCACCTCTGAGAAAAGTAAAGGGAGAAGCACTTGCTCCCTCTAGTTCACTGCCAGTCCAACTCCCCCCAACCTCCCACCTTGCATCACCACAGGCTATCTTTTGTATTACAGGAGGCCGAACCTAGAACTTTACACATGCCAAACATTCTACTGGTCTACCTCTGAGCTATAGTCCCAGCTCACAATAGCCTGTTCTTAACAGTTTAGGACACTTGGCCCACTGCTATGTTTTTTGGGGTGAGAGAGAAGTAAATCTTTCTCCTTCCCTTTTGATCCAAATTCAGCCACAGTTTACCAAAATTTCTCTAAGGAAAACAAAAGGGAAGCAAATGAGGACCTCCCTTTAACAAGCACTGGCCATGCTGAATTGCAAAAACATAAAAGCTAGTGAAGTTGGAAAGCTCAGGTAATTTATTGCTTGTATAGGAATTCACAGTTTATCACGTCTTCATATACTAGTAAAGTCCAGCTTCGGGGTTCTTAAAATTCTCTTCTGTGTTGTGTTTTTAATATCACAGCTTGCCAGGGCACTGAAGTTCCTTTTACCACCTTCACTCTGATTCGGAGCTTTGGGTTGGCACTTAGTTGGGCTGAGCTCCTTGGCTGTTTGTTTCCCACTGCAGGAGATAAGCATGTGCCAGGCACAATGCCAGGGCTGAGAGGTGCTTGCTAAGTGTGAGTTTCAAGAATAGTGTGGACAAATAAGCTAATGTATCTCAAGGGGCTCCCTCCATGTTGGTCTTCCTGGAAGGCCCTCCTGTGCTGTGACTCTGGCCCTTTTCCTCTCTGCTCTAGTATCTGTAGAATGTGTGCTGTAGTGAAAACCTCAGCTGGGAAGTGACTGAGGTCCTAGGGGAATGGAGAGCCAGGCATTTGGGGCCTGCAGGTGACCCATCTGAGGATCCAGCCACTTTCCAGCACGCAATCTCTAGCCATCCCCTGGCGGCTTTCTCCACAGAAGGCTTTATCTAGTCCTTCTGATACTACCAACGGCTATAGGCCAGTGTTCCATAAATTGCTGAATTCAATAAAGTAAGAATAGAGCCATTGCTTTCTCTTCATTGCAGAAATGCTTGAGGTGGCAGGAACAATGTCTTCCCTTGGGCAAGAACTGTTCATTCATTTATATACACCTAGGTATAAATCACTCCCAAAGCTACATTATACTTTTGTTTTCTAATAGGATAGAGGTTTAGGTTAGGGTTGAGTAAAGCTGATGATTCGCAGCAGAATGCATTATATTGAACCAGTTTAATCTCTCCTGAAAAAAAATCTTTTGTTTCTTTTCTATGGACTTTCTCTCACCTCTCGATCCTCTGACCCCCAATGTAGGTTTGTGTGCAGCTTGGTGTATTATGGCCTCACCCTGAGTGCAGGTGACCTAGGGGGGAGTATTTATGCCAACTTGGCCCTGTCTGGACTCATAGAGATTCCATCCTACCCTCTCTGCATCTACCTGATTAACCAAAAATGGTGAGTATGGATAAAACATGAGGTCCAATGTGGAGAATCTATACCTGCAGCACATCCACACTCTTACATATGGACGTACCTAATTATGATGGTCTTTGGCTGTAGGCAGTGTACACCTATCACTGTGACGATTAGACTTTCTCTCAGGTCAAATGCAGCTAGGCTGTTTTTAGTGTGGTAGTTCTTGAGTTTCATGTGTCTGCATGTTTATGTAGGCTTTAACTTGAGGGTTGTTAAGTCATCTGTATCTAAATTCTGAGGCCTAAGCAATGGGATTGTTAGCTCCATGTGGGTAGAAGTCCATCAACTCGGAATTGAGAAGGTCCTGTAAGCAGGAAGACAAAAACCCTGACAGAGTTAGAAAGGTTTCTTGGTTCCTAAGACCTACTTGGGAGGGCAGAATACATTCTGCTTTGTTACTAATGAGGAGGGAGCACAATATTGAAATATTTCTTTAGTTTTGTTTTTTTATTTTTAATCACTTTTATTATTACTGAGCTAGGAACTAGCTGGGTTGTGCCATTTCTCACCACCCAGAAATTAAATTATCATTCTAACCTAGACCTGGCCTCCATTAGCATTGTGTCGTGTCATGCTACTATTAACAGGGAAATGGAGATTCCTTTTGGGTTCTTATCCTTGTTAACAAAAGAATTTAGAATGATATTTGGAAGGAATCTTGAGAAGTTTTATTAGAGTTTGAATGAAAAGCAACAGGGCAGGCAAGCTGTAAATCCCAGCACCTGTCAGGAAGAAGATAGAAGGTCATACCTTTTAAATTAGACAGGAAGTCAGAGATACAGTGAGAAAATCCTGAGTGTCAGGGAAAGTATGCTTAGGCTTCCTTAAGATAGTGTGCTTAGTGCCAGGCTGCAGATCTGAGTTCAGAGGGCCTGTTCAGTTGGAGGCTTTTCTCCTGGGCAGTGTTGCAGAGTCCTTAACTGAATCCTCTGCTAGTGATGGTCCCTGAGTCTCACCATGGCCCTAGAACAAGCCTAGCTTCATACTCTGAGGTCTTTCCCCAGCATCCCAACAGGGGCACATGCAACAGGTTCCTGTGCATGCCTCTGATGGCCACCTCCAGCACCACCAGAAATCTGTCCATGGTGTCAGCATATATCTAGGGCCTGCCTGGCATGATCGATGTTTCTCAAAAGCTGCTTGATGCTGACTGATAAAAATAACCTTTGAAAAAAAGCTCCAGGCTTTTCCTGTTTCCTAGCAGCTGCTGCCTAGAGGCAGGACTGAAATCTGAAGCAGAGGGAAGATCACCCACTGCCTTCAGATCAAGCAGATCTGAGTCTTAGCCACATTTTAGCTTTGTGACTTTAGCAAGTTCCTTCACTAAGCTTCTATTTGTGCTCATTCTCAGACTAGGGATCATAAAATACCTGGAAAATCCACTATCAGAATTATAAGTAATACTTAAGTTCTTAGCTGAGTAGCTGGCCTGTTGCAGGCCCCTGGAGAATGAAGACTGACTAATAGTGTCTTTCTTTCAAGCCTGGAGCTCTTATTGGGAACTTAAGTATGCAGTACAGTTCACTTAAATCAAAACCACCAACAAAAATTTCTTTCTGTTGGTATTTCTTTAAAAAAAGAGATATTAAAAACAAAAACTGTGTTTAAAGCTTTCAGCTCCATAAGAGTCAATGAGCAGAGAACAGCCAACCTAGAGGACTCCATTCTTGCTTTCTCAGTTTCCTTTCTAGAAGATGGAGAGGAACAGTACATACTAAGACTGAGTAAAGTAATAGGTGGGATGAATTTAAAACAGTGCCTGGAACAGCATGCACACTTGGTTAGAAAACTGTTCTTTAGCCATCCAGTGGCTTCTCTTCTTCACAAAGCTTAACTATATCCTGCTCTCACCAGCCACATCTGCCACCCACTCCTTAAGAAAAGAACCTGAGCACATCTGAATAAGAAGGTTGATAGGAAAGGGAAGATGAATTTATAAGATTCTTAAGAGAAATGTATGATTTCTTTCTATTATTTAGGTTTGGTCGGAAGCGAACATTATCTGCATTTCTGAGCCTTGGAGGACTGGCTTGTCTCATTGTGATGTTTCTTCCAGAAAAGAAAGGTAAGCCTTTGAAATTTCTGTAAGGGTTTTGAGCAGCACTTTGATTACAGTGAGTCTCAGTGCAGTGGAGGGCTCACCATATGCCAGGCTTCTTTCTGTGACTGCTTGTCATTTAGCAATTGTGTGGACATAATGGGCCAGATTCTTTTCATTGCCCAAACTGTTGTCTGGGTGAATATGGTGCTTGGAGGTGCAATGTTAATTCTTTCAGGCAATTAAGCTGCCATCTGGGGTGGCTAGGATGCAACACTGGTTATGTTAGAGCTGTTTATTTGGTGATAGGGAAGGCCAAGGAGAGGCCTTCCAGCCAACCACAAGGCTGGTGGTCAAAGACACTGATTCTCAAAGGTGGCTTTGGCACTCCTCAGTGTCTCCATATGGTACCCCAAGGTACCCCAATTAATAATAGCAACAGGGTCTGGAGAGGTGACTCAGCAGCTAAGAACACAGGCTGCTCTTGCAGAGGACCCAGGTTGGGTTCCCAGCACCCACATGGCAGCTAACAACCATCTATAACTCCAGTTACAGGGGACCCCATGCCCTCTCCTGGCCTCCATGGGCATTACACGCATGAGTGCACTTACATACATGCAGGCAGCACACTCATACAAAATAAAAAAATGAAGAAATAAATAAATAAGTAAATAAAAAATAATAGCAGCAACACCTATAAGGATGATATTCAATGTCAGTTAAAATTATTGTGTTCTTGGTCATTTTAAAGTGTGAATAAGGGCCAGCAGAAGGACTCAGCAGGTAAAGGTGCTTGCCACCAAGCCTGATGACCTGAGTTCAATTCCTGGGATCTACATGGTGCAAAGAGAGAACAGCTCTGACAAGTAATCCCCTGATTTCCATACATGTTCCATTGTGCGTGTGCCCAAACACATTTACACACAAAATAAGTGAATAAATGTAATAAAAAAAATTTTTTTAATTATAAAGTATGACTAAAACTGAAAGTTTTGGGTTTTTTTTTTTTTTTTTAAAGTTTGTAGCTTTACTATGCAAACACAGCTTCAAAAGATGATTTGGGGGCTGGGGTTGTATCTTCCTTGGTAAAGTGCTTACCTAGCATGCATGAAATCCTGGGTTCAGTCCCTAACATTACATAAAATCTGGTCATAGTAGCATGTCTGTAATCTCAACACTCAGCAGGTGGCAGCAAGAGGATCACAAGTTCCAAGCTGTCCTCAGCTACATAACAAACTTGAAGCCGGCTTGGAATGCATGAAACAAAAATTAAGTGTCCCTTTGTCATCCCATTTAACCAGATTGTTACCCTGATTTAGAAATTCTGTAGAGACAGATGTGGATCCTAAGTTAGAATCCATCATGTTTAACAAATTGGAGGCAGGCCTGGGCTACATAGGAAGACAGAGTTTCAATAGCAAAAAAGAAAAAGGAGAGAAAGAAATTCTATGGATACGTGTACACTTGTAGGTTTCTATCCCTGCCCCCCCCTTTCCTTTTTTTTTTTTTGCCTGCACAGTGGAGGCCTGGAGGTTCCTGCCTTGGGAGCTGCAGTGTTGAATTAGGAATAGGACATAACAAGTGTCTTCTGCAGGAGCATTATGGGATAACAAAGCCCAGTCTGGGGCTTTGGGGTTCTGATGAGACTCCATTATGGATCTTGGGCTCCAGTGGGAATCATTATGAGATGGTCTGACGTAAAGTTTTGGTAACTGCTGGAAAGCGTGAAGTGTCCATCCCTCACTGTGTATTAAATGCTTTGAGGTTCAGTTGTGTTATAGTCTAGTTGGGGAGCCTGCAGGGTTACCCATTCTTGTGCAACCATCCAGTGTACCTGTTCATTGTCAGTGACTACCTGAAGTTTTGTGCTTTGATCCAGAGTGCAGTTTGTTCTCAAGCTTTAATAGAGATTTAACCCCAGATTATAGTACAGCCTCACAGGGATTTCCATTACATCGTGGAAACTAGAGAATTTGGGAAGTTTGCCCATATCTTGTCCTTTGAATACACTGGCACCTCTGCCTATGTCACTTCCTCATTTTGTTTGTCTAGGACAAAAAATAATGGGCTCCCACTTTTTGTGGTTTATGCTCAACAGAACTTGTTTTGTGAATTCGGTTGGTTTCTGTCACAGCAGTCTAGTGTTCTGTGCATCATCTCAGTGAGAACAGCTTTGCACTATTACCATAAACATGTCCGTGTCTTATCCCATCTATCAGAGCCAGGTCAAGGGATATCTTCTTCCCTCCTATTTCTTTGCACACTCAGGTAACCCACCCTGCATATGACCCTTCCTTAAAATTATCTCTCATTATAGCCTAGTCTACATAGTGAGTTCCAGGACAGCTGGAGCTACAGGGAGACCCTCTCTCAAAAAGACCAAAAAAATAAAAAAAAAGATCTCTCATTATAAATAACAAAATAAAAATCCAAGGTGAATGTAGATGTGTGGACTCCCATCTAGACCAGTCAGCCCTTCTTCATCCCTATCTATCCTGAGAGCAGCTAGAACCCTCTATGGATCACCCCCCTTGGTGGACCCAGACTGGGACACAGTGAAGCATTGTTCTCTGCATGCCATGAAGGTGCCTCTGTATGTAACAAAGGGAATATGACACCTTTGTTATACTAATAGAAAAGCTGGATATCCTGCTGGTTTTAAGGATTTCCTAGGAAAGAAATTCTATAATGCCCTTTACTAAATGATTTCTGTTTTTAAGAACCATGCATGTTAGAATGATTCTCTTTCACTACATGAAGCCCATTTCCTTTCATTTGATTTATCACTAAGATGGAGAACAGATGGTCACCTTTTTGTGTGCATAATCTTTGCTGTACTTGCAGAGTCTTTCAACTATTCCAGAATCTTTTCCCAGCTTAAAAAAATATTCTTTAAGCTATTCATATTTACCCTTTAAAATGTTTGGTTTGGTTTCTTTTAAATCTGTTTTTTCAGAGTTTTAAGCTATATGTTATGAAAATTCTGATAAATACATATTAAGAAAAAGATCTAGCAGTTTGAAAACTCTATTAATACACTTGGAGACCACTTATTTTCCCTGTGCTGCTGCTCCTTCCCTTCCTGACTTTCCCACTAAGCATTCCACACTTGCATTCTCTCTCTCTGCCAACTCAGGTGCCCCTTTCCTTACTGGCTTCGTTTTAGCATCTGTATGGTTGTGGGTCTCAGTTTCTGGGCATTTGTGGATACTGTGACAGTGTACCTCTTGGAGACATAGCCAGTAAGCCAAAACTCGAGTTGTTTGGTGTCTTGAAACTTGTGATTTATAGTTATAAACTGAGCATCACTAAACCAAACATCTGAAATCTGAAATGTTAAAAAATCTAAAAACTTTTAACACTGAAAATTTTGAGCACTAACACGATGTCTTATGTAAAAAGTCCCACACTTGCCCTCCTGTGCTGGGTCACAGTTACACAAGTGCACTGAAAGTGTTTCATAAACTTGCCTTCAGACTGTGTATACAGTGTATGTGAACCACTAATAAATGCTCTGCTTCAGCTTTGGTCCCACCTTGAGACACCTCATTAAGTATGTGCAAACATTCCAAATCCCACAAATCAGAAACATTTATGGACCAAGCATTTCAGATGAAGGCCACTCAGCCCATGTTAGACAAAAGTTCCCCGGGGACCCATGTGTTTGCTAATTGGTTGGCCTCCTAGCAAGTATTCTCCTCTAGGAATAATGTTAGCAGGAACCACTAATTTTTTTTACGCAGATTTGATCTGTATTCTTGCTTAGAGGATCCTAATTAAGCTTATAATACTGGCTACCATTTATGGAGCATTGACTATTTGCTGGGTTTTCTAAATCCAGCATTTAGAAAGAATACAGCTTCTCTCTTCATTTGTAGGTCATTATGTATCACCTCCATCAAATAAGGAAACTAAAACTCAAACTGACAAGCAGCTTGTCCAGCGTTATACAGCAAAGGTGCAGATTGCAGGTCTTCCTGACTCTGTAGTCTCAGTCAGTATTTCTTTGGAAATACACATTACAAATGGTGAAGCTGTTGAGTTTGAGGATTAACACTGTACATTTAGGACCAGTTCTTAACTCTTCAGTGGTGGTCTTGCTGGGAATTAGCTAGGGTTTAAAACTCTGGTGTTGGAGTAGCACTGGCCACTGGTGGGTGAGGCTCATGGCAGCTGTAGTCCCTCTGGATGAACCGAACACTAGGAAGTCAAAGCCCATGTGGATAAACAACTTTGCACTTGAAGAGTGTGTCCTTGGACTCGGCTTCAGTGAAGCCTGGGGTGTTTCAGTCCCTTCCTCAGCCTTGGTCTGCTCATTCTTGATCTGACTTCTAGTGTCTGTGGTATACAAATTCCATTCATGAACAAGGCCCTCTTCCTGGCCTCAGAGAGCTTGCAATCTAATGAGAGAACTTAGTGATCCAAATCTAACAACAAAAGATAATGCTGCATGAGAACTGACAAGTGTTATGAGAACTTGAACTTTCAGCCATAACAGTAACAGAGACCAACTATCTCCCTGCCTTAAATAGCTATAAAACCAGACAGAATATACATTATGCATATTCAGTCATTGGACAGCAGGCTGCATAGGACAGTGATCCCTGAGAAAAGAAACTAAGGTGAGCTCCAAGAGGGTTCTAGCTCAGGGTGGCCAAGCCACATGGCAGGGAGGGGAAGGCAGCAAATCCTGACATTCTTACTGAATTGAAGAAATGGATACTAAGCATGGGGTTAGAATTTGTTACGGGAAAGTATCAAGAGGAGTAAGACACACAGAGGAAGGCCTCCAGAGACTTCAGATGAACCTCCAAATCTTGGCTGCTTGCTGATTTATACATGCATTAGAGAGAACTCCTATAGCCAGGGGAAAACCACCAGACAAAGAGTGGGGAGGGTCATTAGATAATAGCAGACAGAATCATTCATCCTTAAGCCATTAACACTCTGTATTCTTTAGCTAGACATTAACCATTGATTGGGTAGAGACCACTTCCACCAAAGGAGCCCTAGATGAAAGGCTGCTT